TCTATTAGCCTCTCTACCCTATCGGTCTATTTCTCGCTTACTCAGCACAGACAATTCTGTCCACAAACTCATCTCCGTTTTTTCAATTTCGTTCCTGTAACTCTGCTAATATAGAAGTCTAAAATGCGCCATATGAAGACATGCTTACTATACAAAGTTGCGTCTGTTAGCTGGCCACCTTTTGAAGCAAAAGCAAATGAAATGCAAAGAGGTAACAAGTAGTAAAAAAACAAAAAGATAAGGAAGCGGCTGCGAGCGTGACAGATAAATGGGTAACATTACATTTACGCCACGTGGCAAGGCCCGCTTTGGTAAATAAGGCTGTAGGAGAAGCAGTGGTAGTAAAGGTAGTTTCCCAGCATCAATATTCTAGCAACGCCCGTATCTGTTATATTTACGCCTCGCAAATACGGACGGTCGTACATAGATACGGTTCTATTGGAGCATCATGGGAGTTTCCCTTTTTAGCAACAACACCGGTAGCAAGTTAATCAGTACAAGCATTTTACGCTTATTTTACGGATATATATATATATATATATATATATATATATATATATATATATATATATGTATATATATGCGAGTTCTCTAGCAGATTGTCGACACTGCGGATGGTACAATGTGTGACGCCATCGAACGTAGCGTCTCACGGTGGCTCCAAGCGCTACACACAAACTAGTTTAGTAATAGAAGAGGTGGTGGCCGCGTCAGGTTCCGAAGCGAAGGGCCGCTCTGTCTTTCCCTGAGGATGACCGTGTAACAGGCAGCAGAAGTAAAAGCAGCATATGAACTCATAGAAATTAAAAATTTTGTAACTACTGCTGGCAGGTTATTATCTATATAGCTTTAGGCAATTGTCTTTAGGGCAATAGGCCCTTTCTCCTACAGACGATAAAGAACCTTGAAATAAACAATAATTATTATTTTGGGGATACGTGAATGGGAAGAATCATCGAAATTTTTGAGTAATCTTCGAATCCATAATCAGACAAATTTATTGGCACACATAATTATTGTAGGTACTGTCCACACGTAAGCTGTTCGATGTTACGTGTACTTACCTTCAAATATAACAGAACCATCATGCGCCTAGTCGAAACTCGCTATCACTAAAGGTCTATTAACGATATACCCGATTCATCTATTCGAGAACTTAATTAATAATCGATAATAACGACCATATCAGTGCTAAGGTCTATTTTCTTCTGTACTATAACTATAAGACCCCGTAGCGCGATCGTATTCGACCGCCAAGGTTCGTACTATGAAATAAACGGCACTTTCGTATAAGATAGACGGTGCCGTCTCACGAACATGGCCAAGCAGAGCTACGCGGAAGAACAGTCCGATAGCTCAATGGACAGGACCAAGATGTTTGCTGTCTGATGAAGGAATCGAGCGTATGCGTTTGCAAACGTAGCTCGAAGGCTCCTTTCGGTGAAGTAATCAGTCTTCAATAAACTTTAGAGCATTCTTTATGGATTAATCTCAAAAGGTAACTGAAAATAGGCTTGTTCTATTGGTTGATTTCCTACACTCATATACAACTAGCGCAAACAAGCGCGTCCTTTCGTGCGCGTAACGAATCCCGTCCGAGACGATGGCTTAATCTCACCCCTATTACGAGAAAATCAACCAAGCAAAATCCATGGTGGGCCTTGTGTAGTGCCTTTCGGACACACGAGAATCGCCGTATGTTTTAGCCGTTCTGCTGCACACACGGTAGAACTAACGTGCATGAATAACAGCCCTACCTGATCGAGAGGTTTTTTCGATTCACCTAACTGACTGTATTATTTAAGACACAACTTGAAATGTTTATCCTAAGGCTCGCGTCTGTCATTATTCAATTACGTATCTATACGTTCATTATACTAATGTACCAGGGACGCAAACGGCCGTTCCAGCAGATTCGGTAGAGAACTATCGTACAAGATAAATATACTACGACCTTTCGCGGAACGTGGAGTCAATTTTTGAGAAGCAAATTTGATTTAACGAATTATAGTCTAGCTTATAGAGGCAATTTTCAAGGCTAGAGTCACTCTAACACACCTTTGCTACATTTAACAGAATCTGCTAGATAGAGATCGATTTTACCTCTTTGATTTAAAAGAAACGATATTCCAATTGGGCTTACTTTGCGAGAAATAATAAAATTGCGCAATCTATATAAAGAAAATCGTATTGATTTGGTTTAATACTAGAATCGCTTTTTAACAAAAGTTCAAGAATATCGGATCCAGAGCTTGGTGAGAATCCGACAGACAACATGATAACAATATGTGATTTAATCGAATAAAGAATGATAGATCTATTTAACCAGTGACTGGCCGTAACCCAAGGCGCTCGCTTACGGCTAGGTCGTTTGTTTCTGCAGTGTCTACAGGGCAGAATTGGCATATGAGGATTCTTTAATTTCATTGGAAAACACAGGAAACGCACTTCCGCAGCTTATTGACTCGGCTTACTTTTAACGTGACAAAACGCGTCACTTAATAAATACAAGCTAAACTGAACAAAACAAAGCGATTGAGCCGAATTCAAAGTTCACATTTACCAAAACGATATGGGCACTTCAGCTAAAAGGACCCGCGGGGATAAGGACATCGAGGGGCAAACGAAGAAGCTTTTTCTTTGCCCATATACGTACTCGTTTCATTAGCAGATAAAATTTCTTTTTCAGCCTGATTATATACAAAAGGACCTCTAATAGAATTACATAATTTTTTTTGTCGACTTCGTAAATGTTATGTAATTCGGTCAGGAACGAAGTGCGGCATTGAAAATTACTGCTCGGAAGGGCTAGGTCAAAGTTTCACTACGCTCAGCAGCCGGCCATATTGCGTCATGTTACTACTCCATTGTTCAGGGTGTAGCACGCCAATTGCGGTTAATCTATTCAAAGTTTTAAGGTGTTATCGTAATAAATTTACTGCTGTATCTACGATTCGACCTGCGTTTAGAATTTTTCTCTTCAAAATAGGTAGAGCTGATACTTGAAGGTGTTCGTCGAGATAAACCGATTAGTTGGAGGTTCTAGGGCGTTTAGAACCGTGCAGTATCACAAATTTAGCTTGCGTCTTTCCAGAGCAACTGTGTGTTCCTTAATGCTTTTGAATAGGCAGATTTGCATAGGCATTAAGGTCATTGTGATAAGAGAAAAATCGTTACGCGTATTCGATTATCGCGTAACGCTACTGTTAATCGACAGAGGGAAAACTTACACACGTATCATAAATAGAAGCAAGGAGTGATTTGAAGGGAGTATGTCTTTTTGTTAAAGGGTATTACTAAAGTATTATGACCTTTTACTATCGAGAGCTATATGCGTTCTTGCATGCTTTCACCGTTCGTGTTATATTTCGGTGGTACGAGGTTCTAGCCTAGGGGTTTTTGCGATTGGGCTCCTTTCAAGCATTCGATTTTAAGGCCCACCTCATGCATGCGTTGATGCCTGTTCTACAAATGTAAATCCCCATCACATATTATGTCTTAGAACATTAACAAAAAAGCCCAAGTTTCATACGGGTGTTTAAATTCAATTAGATAGGTGTGCCGTCCCAATGACAGTGATTGACTGACTCATGCGCTGGTAAAACTCTGCCAATGCCCATAGCTTGCCTACAAGAAAACATAATCAATCAGCGTGCCATAGCACAAAAATTGTTACCCTCATTCAGTGTTTATATGCATGTACAATACGTATATTTTCAGTAAAATATCCTATCCGCCATATTTGCAACCCTCACCAGATCTAGAGCTAAACGAGATGCAAGCTCATGAAACAAAGCTTTACCGTTATGGCCCAGATGTGTACCGCAAAAAATACATTATCCCTAAAATTGCTTTGAGATGCTAGGCATCATGAAACAGAGGAGGTATTATAAACAGTAAACTTTGGGAGTGGATAAGCAAAAGTCCACGTCCCTATAATAGCAGTGCTAGACAGATAACAACATGGAGGACTTAGAAAGTTATGGATTCTGGATAGCGGTGACTGTGTTTAGCGTCGAATAGAACGGTACACTTATTCAGCTTTGTCAATAGAAAGGTGAAGAGTGACAACTTGTTGTGGGTCGCTTAAGGTCACCACGTTCCAACTCTGTGGCTCTGTTCAGATAGTCGGGATAATTCAGATAGTTATATTAGGACAGCATGTCTAGAGCCTTAAAGTGAACCTTAGATGCTAGTAAGGGCTAGAAACCTTTAGTCAAAAGAACTAAGCGGACAGGGAAGTCGGCCTCACGGTGCATTTCGCCTTAGTCGTGTATCAAGCTCAGAACATCGCGCACGGTATAGCAGCTACGGAAAAACACGACAACAACTAGGAATCACAGTTTCCATAGCCATGGGCCTATTACGCCCTAACTTTGATGAGTTTAATCTTTTTAATTTAGATGTATTTTAATCTGTGGATAGTGCAATGGCAATGCGTGCCGATAATGTATATATAATGGCAATACACTTACGTGCGTACCGCATTCTCGACTGTGTTGTATTTCGGCGTTATTTCGGTAGCGTTTGGGTATGGTTCTCTATAAACCAGAAGCATATATATATATATATATGAGCCTCCTTTTTTTGCTAAATGCAGCGTGACACTATAATTATGGTAATAACTATAAGTTAAAAGCCTAAATAGCACACCGATATTAGCAGGAGTATCACAGCTCAACCGCGACCGAAATGCTTTTAGGCCATGATCGTAGCAGCTTTCATTATTTCTCTGATCAAATTTTTCTCAAATAAAATTTCTTTAGGAGAATTGGAGCCATTGATTAAAGTAAAGGTAATGAAAGCATGGGATTTCGAGTTCTACATTCGGTTCTCCGTCAAGCATCGCTTTAGACGACTGAGCTCTTTCAGCGCGCGACAATGTGTATTTATACGCCCGATGTTAGACCTATGCTACCTTGCGTACCTCTATAGAAGCTACAAGCATTATCGGATAGCGACATGCGTGAATTGGAAGCTAAACAAGGTGCAACTCATACCTTACTATCCTTGGCATAGTAAAGGCTGCGCGGCTTTAGTCGAAAGTATCTCCTTTTCCACCCCTGAAACAGGAGAGAAAACATTTAAAATCGAAATTTACGGTAATTTTTGCAAAGCTTTTTATGTATTCAGAATCAGAAAGTGTAATGGGTTCGGTCTACATGTTTGATACGATCCTGAAAGCGTAACGGGACGAGAAAAAACTTCCAGTGGGCTATGCTGATAGATAATTTACTATCTAGAACAACAGAATTACGTCTCTCATATAACTTACTTCGTTGTTGTGAACTTTATCAGCCAACACCACTGTCTTACTATGAAAAGTATATTGCATATCATATGGGGGCTGATTAGCATTTTGGTGCTGTTCTTATAGCTATGATTGGCCTAATTTAGCCGTGTAGCATGTCCTTCGCCGCTTATTCTCTCGGTTAGTAGTTGTGTATGCGCGAACCCTTTCTCGAATCTCCCGTATCTGTTTCGTCAAACAAACCACTGAAATAGTGGCGACGGCTACATAGAACCAGTGCAACAATCAAAGCAACAAACCGGCGGCAAATTTTGAAAATTTAATTTCAACGAGAGATTGACAAGCCTGTGAACAATTCTTATAGCGGCAAGCCTTGTGGCTGTTCGGTGTCCTATAGGATATGTTTTTGCGTCGAAACGACTGCATTCATTAAAGTGTAAAATTATATTTTCTGCTTGCTTGTCCCCCGCAAACTCCATTACTGGGCAGAAACGTAGTTGTAGTCGAAAAGGGATCGAAAAAACGTTGCCACTGAAAAGCCAACGGGGGCGCCCTAGTGGAGGCAGCAAGCCCTCGACAAAAGCGGCTTGGTAAACCCTTATTCGCAGTAGACTATAGCCCGTCACCGTCCGCTTTCAATGCGTATTCTCCAACGCGTGGAACGGAGTGAGTTGGTCGGCGACCAGTGGTTCTTTTGCCGGTCAAAGTAGGCCGCGGCGCTCCGTATGCCGAACGCTCTAGCGCGCTGTGTTCTACACAAATTTGACCCTGTTATAACAAAGCAAAGGCAGAGGGGAGATTATATATTTTGGCGCATTGACGGACCAACAACGTGTCCGCACATAATACGACAATGAATAACACGGGGCTACTTTTACTTTGCCCTCTTCCTGGTAAACAGCAGCACCAACAGCAGATGTTGTGTATTTTGACAAAGGTAAATTTACATGTTTACACAGCAGTTTACAACAATGGGTGTGTTTGCATTAGACCACATACCTCTACATGGCTAGCCTATCTCTAATTCTAATTTCGACCTTGTGTTTGAACTAAGTAGAAATAATTATTCTGTAGAAACAAACACGAGTTCATTGGCCCACTTTGATGGCTAACCACACTTATAACGATGAACCGAACGGATGGCTCAGGGAAAAAAAAAAATAGGTAAACCGTAATTTGCGCTTTGTGATCATAGCTGGCGATAGAATTGTTAACATCGACCGAGTTCAGCAAAAGTATACGACTCACGAGCAAGACCTTAAGACCTTGGGACGTTAAGAGTTGAACGAAGCATGTCGACGATCGATTGCTCATCCATGTGCTTGTTTTAGATTGGGTCGATTCGGAACGAGGGCCTTCTCCGGCAACGGTCATAGAAGGTGCAGTCTGTCCTCTATAGACGTTCACTGCATAAAAGAGCGAAACGATGCTGATGTCCGTTCATCACTTACGAAACTCTGCCTGCCTGCCTATCTTTGTTCCACGGTCAGTCGCTCGCTAGTAGTAAAAACATTTTCAGTAACAGTAACTATTATGCCGCAGATAATGTCGTAACAAAGGGAATCAAGTGGACTGTAATCGTCAATCTGTATCGTTTATTTCTGTGATACCAAAGTATGATGGAAAAGAATTAAATATATAAAGTCGGTACTCAAACAAATCAATCCAAATAAATTTAGTCAAACGATTTCAACTTTTAGAATTCACTACGCAGAAAAAAAACTTCTAACTTACGGAAATTCCATTATTTTGATAAAGGAAACGGCAAGCATTTTTAAACAGCTGGCAAGGGATCTGCTGTAATTGTATTTGGTGAAGTGGTAACTGCTGTGACTTTCTGAAGCATTTTTCTAATGCAATTTATCGCTGTCACATATTAGTAATTTTCTACGAAGATTTAAAACATTTGTGATTTACTGTCCTTTCAAAATTGGTTACGATTATCCAGGGATTTTTTTCTATGGGGTTGAGTTCTGCTGGATTAGCAGGTTACGGCCATATTTGTGTGTCACGGGCAGTGAGTAATCCAGAGATACTCCGAGCCCCATGACAAGGCACCCCATAGTGCCATCCCAATATCTGAGACAGCGCTTTACTCTCGATAACCTTAGCATGTTCAAGCTGCTGCGGTGGCCGCTGGGCAAAATGTGCCATTCATCCCAGTGCATATGGCGGAAATCATAAGCCACATTATAACTTTTGCTTTTCGATCCGATGCCTCCTTCGGGAAACACGTTTGAACGCATCGTGAGCTTTTTTCCGAGAATTTGCCCCCGAAAATTGAGATTTAACCGAGGAACAGACCTCTCCAGTGTTCCACGGTGCCATCGAGCTCAGCCTCCTTTAAGTTGACGACAAAGCGTAATATTGCACATAGCGGTCGATGATTTTTTACTATGCTCTGGGGGTTAACATTATAGAAGATAAACGTCTCTTTTTGCAGTTCTTAAAAATCGATTTTACGATCGATGCTGACAACTATATACCGATAAGCATGAAACATTTGAGCATTATCACGTGATGATCGACACTTGTTTAGAAGAAACAATCTAATCATTAGTGCTTTCTGCTTCTCCACGTACTATTTCTACGCTTTACGTACGGCAACGCGTAAAACCGTAACGAAATACTTAGGTCAGTCAAGCTTAGCTAAACACCATCGATTCCTTAATCGATGATGTTAAAATATGAATGCTAAAAGCCGACTGCAGCAGACCATCGCGCCTGTAATCGTTAATATATGACGTTTATCGACGGTTTGAAAGTGTTTGCTAATAATGTCTCCACTGATAAATCACTCTCAATGTAGTAGTAGTAGTAGTAGAACGATGCCAATTTCATAAATCGTCCAAAAAGATTTCGACGAACGAAGGGTAGAGGGGTGCTAAGGGGGTTAGTTCCCGATAGACTATAACTCTACGGCAGACAAATACACACAATAAATTTGGGTTAATGGTACGCTTCGAAAGACTCTAACAATTCACAAATTCCCACTTATTTGCTGCAAATATCGTTAAAATAATAGTAACCGGTGAGACAGCATAAGCTCAGGAGGTAAAAATGTATCTAATTAGAGCCATTCGTAGGTGTCCTTGATTATTCCTGGGAAATAACTAAAGGTAGTAATGTCACATGAAGCTCATTCCAAACATACTGTATGTATGTATGTATGTTCTGTATTTAAAAGAGGTAAATGCAATGATATTCCCCGTTATCGATATCATGAAAACATTTAATTTTCAAAGAAAATCGAATGAAAAAATAGTGGTACGATATAAACATACGATAAAGCTTACACGGTGCACCTCTTTCGAACGATTATTGTTACTTACCAGTTAGGCTTGATGTTTTTAATAATAGTGCCACTATGATCTGATACAGTGGTTCAAAAGTGGGCATATCTGATTCGTCTCTTTCCTCCACGTTATCGTTGCATTCTAGACTAGCCGCATAACGTGGTCGGCCGCTTTTCAGCGGCCGACCACGTTATGGATACAAGGTTCACAAGCTCATCATTGTTACTATTACTTGTAATCCCTATCGATAAACAAACTGTTGGTTAGACAAAACTCGCTAAAACCTTACGCTGCCAGTACGACCATCAGGCCACATACATTTTTTTTTTTGTCCTTCTTTATAAACGATATGCCTGGGATTAACAACTGTGTGAGCTCCAGCTGAACTGGGCTTGCAGCTTTTGTACTTTATGCTTCAGTCCCATACAAATGGCTGTGAACAGACGGATAATTCGGGAAGTTGGCAGCAGATACGAACGAACTCTAGCGGTTTGACATCTTGCATCGTTTCCTGTCGCATCATCGTATTATCACGATCTACGAGGACAGCGGAGATAAAACGACAGTTCTGCTATGAAGGGTTATGTTCAACGGCTTTCGCGCCACTAGAACATCTAGTCTAACCTTTTGTTACAAAGGTATAGTTTTTCGTTCGTATTTACGAGCCTACCTCTAGCTTGCTCGCCCTACCTGCCCCTAATCGCTTCAACGTGTAGCTTTAGGCTATGTGTCCAGCGTTGGATCGCCATATGCTATTGCGTTTTTCCATTCGGTCCCAGTCATCATTGGCCTTGTTTCGTCTTCGCCTCCCGTGCTAACGCTGACACGATGTCGGTCCGTCGTCTTCATCGAACGACTATAACAGCTTGCTCACAGGTGCATCGGCAAGTAACCGCCTCCATTTGCTCTACGGCCAACATATTTATCGAAGATAATGATGATGAAAAGGAGGTAAAAGCACGCCGGATATTTAGCTCGACGCCAGCTGCTCAAAGGACTTCCATGCTCCCGGCTCTTTTCCTTGCTGCCAATCATGTTTTCGTTAAATTAGCTGGCTGCAACCGGTCTGACTGGTTCGTTCAGACGGACTTCCATCAGAGGTAGCAGCAGCACATCGAATCGACTTTGACCAGAAATACATTCGAGTGTATGTTAGGTTGAAATTGGTTTCCGATGTAGCGATAGCCTTTCTTCACAGCAGACAACAAATTGTAACGTCGTAACATTTATATACTAGCTAATACAGCTGAATGTAGCAGTGCACCCGAAGGGGAAATTCAAAACCCGAACAGAGTATTTAACCAAAAGTATGTTAAGCTAGTTGCCTTCGGTAAGATCGCTTCTAGGGAAATACACTTCTGAAACCTATTTTTTCATAGCCAATAGAACAGCGACCAACCGAAAATCTGCGACGGGGGAAATCATAACGATAATCCTCCCAATCCTGCCTAGAGAACCGTTCGTCAAATCATTAGTTTTCCCCGAACCAGAAAAGAAAAGCGTCCAGCGGTCAGTC